ATTGTAGTAAGTCTGATTCACTGACTGGTGAAGTGAAACAGCAAGGTCTGCCTGCTTCTACCATGCAGAAAGCTTCTCTGTCTGCCTGTACAACACCAATACAGTTCTAAATAAATTAAAGCTAATACCAGCCACCAACTGTAAAAAGATTGTTAAGCAACAAATATGCACAAATGTGATTCAATTCTGACAAAACCCATGCACTTGAAAGGCAGAAAAATCAATAACCAACTCTTTCACGATAGCTCCTTTTGCAGTCCTTGTATAAAGCACACTGCTCTTGGCACATTAGGAGATGGGCACTACATCAAAATCAACCACCTTAATGCTGACCCAGAACGAAACATTCTTTTCATTCACATCAAAATAATGCTCCTGAAAAGCTTCCAAAATAATGCTATTCTGGAAACATTTCTGAGAAAGAATACACTGACCAACACTGAAACTTTCAAAGTGTTAATCTGTGCTTGTATACTTTTACCAAAAATGGTCACAACTTTTTTCTATTACATTTTATCTTAGACATTCTTAAGATGCATCCATTCTAAGCTCCTTAAAGAAGAGAAATCTATCAGTCAATTTGTTTAAAATATATTCTACTCATCCTATAAAACATTTAGTTCTTAAATTCAAGGTAATTAATTAACACATTAATCATCAATCTAGTAAAGGACTATCTGTTTCTTTCTAGGTATCATGTGCACACTCCTAGCGTTTCTAATTTAATTCTCTCACTTCTCCCTGTTCTCACCTGTAATTTTGCACAAATGATCTCGGTATAGCCAGCCTCCAGTCACTCTCAGCCCCACCATACCACAGATAACCAGTGATAACGGTAGGAATGCATGGGACAAGATTAACATACTTACATTTTGTTATAAGGGATTTTTATTAGTTTTCATAAAGTTTTTGGCCACGATTTTGAAAAGCCACTACTAACTTGGGGAAATAATCTTGGTGCCCACCTAGCAGTAAAATGATCTGATGCTCAACATGCAAAAATGTGGTCCCAGCTCAGGCAACCAAACTCATAAAACACAGATCTGAACAAGCTTCTCTAATTTAGTCCAATTCCAGGTGTGATCCCCTAGCAAGTGATTACTACTTTTGTTTTTATATCTGAATTTCACTAATCCTTTTGGTTGTACAGAAGCTGTTGTAGTTTTAGCTATGCTTCTTATTCATTCTGGGCATGCAGAGCAGTTTGGACATAAATATTTTAGTCTCTGATGATTTTGAAAACTTGTTTCACAAGAAAGAGACAAAGAACTAGACTAAGAGGAGTAACAGGAAGTTCCTCCTCATGAAGGGACTCCGCAGTTGTTCTCTTTAGACTCCATAACTTGACTCCTGAATGGGAAAGGTGGCTCAGACAAACACAAGCATGGATCCTCCTCACACCTGGAGTTTTGTGTCTTGTCATCTTCTTAGAACAAACTTCACAAATGCCTCGTCCTTCATTAAAGTAGGGAAGAAGAATGAAGTTCATTACGTGAAGTGATTTCACGTTTCTGTATGCTGCGTGGCTCTCACAAGAGTAGGAAATAATTTTAGGATTTTTTTTAATTTTTTTTTATTCCCTTAATCCCCTGGAAATACGTGTTTTCCTCAGACAGAAAAGCCTGTAGCACTTTCTGAGTTTTCTCACCCTGGTTCACATGAGTGACTGTTATGATATCCTCCGAGGCGACGATTTCCGCAGGGCTCCCCCTGACCCACCAAAGCCCAACGTGGGGTTTCTGCAAGGCCCCACACCAGGGAGCTGCAGCAAGGTCTTTTTGGAACTTCTTTGATGCTTCACATTTTCTACCTTTATTGACTCTGTCTTCACATCAGATCAGTTAAGAGACATTTGCTTTAGGACATGAAAGTCTTCATGTTATTATGTGTTAAAGCACGTATCACCAATTCAAGTTAATATTATCTTCAGCTAGTAAAAAAATAGCTGCACATATCAGAAAGAAAAATGTGAAAGACTCAGGTCAGCCTGCTCTTACATGTGTCAGAAAATTAAAATAGTGGTGGTCAATTATCGGATATATGTTTAAGGAAAAGCTGAAAGGATTTGTTTTGTTTTGTTTTGTTTTAGAACAGCAATTCACATCAGGAACAGAAAGAACAAAATTCATGGAATAAGTTGCATCTCACTGACATGTGGTTACTTTATTTAGATAAGGACTATCATCTAGGGCAGTCAAAGAGGTCATAAAGTCAACTGAGAGGTGTTACAGAAACAAAATCAACAGAAACTTAATCTTGCATGGGACAACCAACGTGGAGAGAAGAACTACAGGCAACAAGCAAGAGAGACCAGTAAGACCACAGAAATTTATGATGTTGTGATTGCTTAAAACTGTTGGGGTACTGTTGGTAAAATCAGCATTTATAGCTTTTCAGGAAAACCTGCTGTTAAGTACAGCAAAGCAAAAAGAAATAGACGATGATACTCCACGCTGAATACACCATTATCTCTCCGAATTATTGATAAGCTGGGACACAGGACCTTGAATGCACAGAAATGTCACACTATCTAGCAAATCCCAGGGGGATAAACTTTTGCTAATGTGAGATATAGCAAACCACCAAACCGCATCAGAGGACTGGGTGATATGTTCCTTTAAGTACCTGTCTGTAAAACATGAAAAGAATTATTAAGTGTTTCCACCTGAGAGATGTAAGCTGGAAATATCATGCAGTCAGTAGTAAAACATGAGCTACTTCTAAGTTTTATTCATGGAAAAACTTTTCAAATACAAAAAGGATAACTGCATTCTGGACCTGCATATTCAATACGCAAAGATTAGATAATAACTAGCATGAAAGCTGGGTTGCCGAGGGAAACAGAGGAAAATTATGTATACATTTGGAATAAAGACATCTCCCCTACCCCACTACCACCAGGGATGAAAAGTCATTATTAATTAAATACTCCCAAAAGAGGGACTAAAAGTCCCTCTATACTGTGGCTAAAAGTATACCCTACTTCTTTTTTGAAGGCAGTAATTAGACAGAAATATAAAATATATGTTCAAAAACTAAAAAAAAAAAAAATCTTAGAAAATAAATTAAATAAGAAATATGGACTAAAGAAAACAGAAGAGGAACTAAGGATTTCCAACTTATGATTTATGTTTTAAAAAGAAAGAAACAAACATGGTCATGACCCACCAGCATATGCAGACTATAACACTGTTAAGAACTGTGCAAAAAAACTGACGTAAATATTCTTTTTCAGTAGGAAAAAAAAGATTTATACAGATGAGAAGCCTCTTTTTCAGTAGGAAAAAAAAAGATTTATACAGATGAGAAGCACATTAGTAATCAAAATGAATGTTAAAAGACAACTTTAAATCAGCACACCCAGATAATTTGTGCCTTAGCGTCTTAGAAGTGTTTGAGAGAGCATAACTTCAATGATGCTAATTTTCAATGTATTTTGGAACACCAGAGAAATATAGTAAGACTGTTAACATCTCCTGCCAACTTCTGAAGATGGTAAGCAGTATGATCTGAGTAATTACAGAGCTCTAAGCCAACTATTAATCTCAGGCAAAATAATGACCAAAGTGATAAAGGATAAATTCACTGGGAAATGACATAAATAAAACTGGTGCCAGTCAACACCATTATATGGAGAGTAGCTCAGTAAAACACAAAGGTTTCATTTAATCATCTGATAATACACTTACGCATTTTGGTCAACAGAAATTATCTAATAAATGAAATACACAGACTTTTGTAGGACATTCAGCTTTGAACCACACTGCATAGATTAAGAAATTTGCTCTATTATCAGTAATATCACACATAAATTAAATGAATTAAGATAGAGATGTCTAATAGATATAAAAAAGTAGCTGTCAAGAGGAAATAATAATCGAAGAAGTATGTCTGTGTTACCTCAATGAATTCTGTCAGGACCAGCTCAGCATTATGTAAGAGTATCATCACTGACACAAAGGGAAATATAAATCATTGTTGAGAGTGGTTGTTTATGACACAAAAATCAGCAGCTTGGTTAATAAAGGTGGCAGGTTATTCAGAGTAATATGGATTGCCTTGTAAGACAGGCACATTTTATTACAGCCAAATAGACTCATGTACCAAGAAAGAAAGAAGGCAGGTTATAACCAGAGAATGGTGCATGGAAACCAGGGACCTTGGGGAAAAAAGTGACGGCACACAAACAACTCCACACAAATGCCAATGAAAGCCTAGGGCAAAAAGTCAAAGCTTAGGGGAAAAATACAACCCTCAGATGCATAAATGCATCAGAGCAGAGACACTGTCTCTGTTCCCAGCACTACTGGTACTGGAATAAGAATAAAGCTGTGCAGTCCCCTGAATCTTCCCAAGACAGGAAGAGGCCTTGATGCACCGTTTTCTCTACAATTCGCCTAAATAAGGGATTCACCCAATTAGCACAGTAAGGGATTTAGAAGGCAGTTCTGTGAAAAGAGCACATCAACAATTTGAAAAGTCTGCAGAGTACCTTTGAATGTTACATAATCATAGAAACACGACGTATGATGGTAGGAGAGCCCAAACCTAACGTTAGCAACAAGAAAATGCTGACAGAAACACAGTGTTAGTGCTAAGAGAGATCTTGCCTCTTAGAGATCTATTTGGGGGTTAATTCCTACCACAGCAATTTCCTGATTTAAAAATCACCACTTAAAGAATCATCAAGTCCTTCTCTGTCACATTGCAACTTTTGAATCTGTAGCATTAAAAAATAACCACCTCTCAGTGAAATCAAGCATTTCCTCAAATGTCTCTATCGGAGCGAGCTGGACTGCTGTAGCCTTGAAGGACCGCACCAGTAGGAATTGCATCGGCAAGCCTGTAGCTTCCGAACCAGCAGCTCAAGTTCAAGGCAGACTCCACGGGGGCTTCACGGGGAGAGCCG